ACATATATATATATATATATATATATATATGATTCCTCTTGTTTTGATATTTTGATACCTAGTTTACTGTTGCTAACATTTTTTATGAGTTACTACCAAAGTAGTTGTAGTTTATATACTGTAATCTTTGTTTTGTAGGTGCTTTATAAGTATACCTAACAGTGATGTATCACGCATTGCTAAGGTTACCCGGTTACCCAAGTAAAAAACTGATACTCCCCCCCACCCATACAGCACACATTGTAGCAGCTCTGAAACAGCTTAATTCAGTAACACACTTTTTATCATTTGCTAAACAATCTCATGGTAATGGCATTGGATTTTAATACCATAGACAAACAAAATTTGATTAAAGCTGACCTAGTTAAAAAAATGATATAAAAAAAACGCATCTAAGTTTCTTGAAAAAAAAAAAGTTACTTAGTTTTCTTTTTTGCAGTAGGAAAGGTCTTCAAATTTTAATTCCTGCATCTGCCCAGTGACACATTAGAATAAGAAAATTTTGCAGAGAGAGGAATTACTTTTCTGTGTGATCTATATTTTTTGAGAAATAAGTTTTCAAATTTTACTTTCTCTAAGTAAGAAGTTGTTGAGTATAATCACAAACAAAACTCATATTGAGGTATAGAGAAATTGAGACATTTTAATATTTTTACTGTTTTTTATTTGAACAGGCAAAATGAGACTAAACACTGGGATGATCCCAGCTTTATTGGGATGCCTAGTATTCCTACATATTGAAGATTTCACAACTTAAGATCTTTGCATTGTGTAATGCAGGGAAATTGACACTATTGGTCAATGGATTTACAAATAAAAAATTTTCTTAGAACTTATAGGTGTATTGGTATGGGGATAGTAGGAATAATGGACATAAAGGAAAAAAATCAAATCATTGGGTGGTAAGTCTGTTATGAGATAAAAGTTGATAGATACATCAATAATAAAAGAAAATACACTCTGATGTAAGCTAAATATGGATTAAAAAATATGGTTAACCATGGTAGCGAGACATGAATTAAAAAAATTGTTGCATTGATGCATTAATATTTTTTTATTGTTTGTTAAGGTAAAATGATGATCATAATGAAATACTACAAATAAAAAAAACATTTCTATAGATGGAAGTTATTTGTGATTGTTATGTGAGGATGAACTCAATAATCAGAGATAGCAAACATAGCTCTAATACTAATGTATTACTCAGTGTATTATTTTGGATGAAGTTTCATTTTTCCTTTTCTTTTAAAGTTTAATTGCTCTGAGAATGAAAAAATAGCATCAGAAGATGAGCACACATTCATTGAAAAGAAAGTTTATTGTTTCTTTTCTTGAAGAAATATCTCTATTACCAAACCTTTCTATCAGTTTTGAATTATTAGATACTTTATATTACAATGGCTGCAATTTAAAATTATTATTGTTATTTTTGCTACAACTAAAAATAAATATAAGTAACTAGTTGCAATGAAATGAATGCATCATCATCTGACTTTGTAACTTATAATGATGTTAGTACTAGGGTACAAAAAATTAGAAAGTTTATTAAACAGAAGTTTTATGACATATTACACATCAATAAAGAGTGTCTGGTCATGACTTTGTAAATAAACAACTTATTTTCTCTACACATCAAACTCGGATACAAAGAATAAACATTACTAATAACAAAATCACAAAATAATAACAATAATATGGAACCAGGTAAAAAAAACAGAAGAAAAACTTATTTCGAAACAGTACTACCACATCTCACCCCAAGCTATCTTGAATTTAATTTGCCCTCTAAGCACTGCTAAAATTTTCATCAGTGCACCATTCTATTATACCCCATCATTTTTGCACCATTGCAGCAACATGTACTGATCATGTGACTACTCTCCAACAAACATACTGCACCATCTATACTAGTGCAGGTAGATCCCTCTACCATTGCAGCAACATGTACTGATCATGTGACTACTCTCCAACAAACATACTGCACCATCTATACTAGTGCAGGTAGATCCCTCTACAGCACAATCCTCACTTTCTTGATTGGCATAGACGTATAGATAGTCTATAGACGTATGTTTTAACTCATTCTCCATGTGAATACAAAATCTTGATTGTGCTTGATCACAAATTAATATCAGTTTCAACTTCTTGTGTCTGATTTGCATTGTTTCTACTCATTTGGCTTTGAAATGTTTCTTTTTTCCGAGTTCTACTTTATTGTTCAGAATTTGAGATTTAATATGATGGATGATAAAATTCCCGCCATAAGTAGACAATGGTTCTGAACTAGTTCATAGGTCTCGAGGTTGACGATGTCTCCTGGGGAAGCTCAGGCTTTAGTTCATGGGTGTTCGTGTCTTACATTCAGCCAGCAATTTTTTTCCCTTTCAAGTTACAATTTTTGTACAGAGGGTTAGAACTACTGTGTGAAAAGTTTCTTTCGATGGCACTTTCAACTTGAAACCATGCTTCGTTGTAACCCGCTGAGTTAGGTATTGTTCTTTTTCCCAGGATATCTGTTGTAAGTTTCTCAGTGTGTATTTCTCACTCCCCTTAGGTATACCTATGTTTAGTGAGTTATATGAGATGGTGTGGATGGATCTAATTTCTACACTTTATAAATTAGGTTATTCATGTCTTCTCTGCTTATTGTTGGGTAAGTTAGATTTTATACTTTATTTACAATCTAGTTTACTTTAGTTTAAACTTGCATTTGGAGTTTTGTATTTGTCAATTCTTGAAAGAGAGGATTGTGCGGCAATGGTAGAGGAAGCTGACTACACTTGTATAGATGGCACAGTATGATTGGTGGAGGGTAGTCACATGATCACCACTTGTTGCTGCAGTAGTACAAAAATGAAGAGGTTTAATAGACTGGTATGCTGTTGAAAATTTTATCAGTTCCTAGAGGGCAAATCAAGGTCAAAAATAGCTTTGGGTGAGAGGAGATAAATAGCTATTGGAAATACATTTTTAGTATTAGAAAA